CCCTCCTCTTCGTCTAACCCCTCCTTCTTCGTCTGTGTATGGTTGGGGCTGGCGCAGTCTTCTTGTGTGAAGCGCCAGACCCCCTTCACACCAGATAACGATGATGATGATGTGTGTTCAGGGCTGCATTGCAATATTGATTGTTCGGATCATTAGTATCTAAGTCTTCCGCTGTGTTAACTTGTACTTTGTATTGAGAGGTCGGTTCTTGTTCTGGTCTGCACATTACAGTATGCAACAGGCGGACTACTAAGGCTTCAGCCTCCTGTCCAAAGGACAACCCAAAGCAGCTATGTCGCTGCCGCTTCAAGCAGCTATGCCGCTGCTCACTGAACCGCCATGCCTGACTCTACCCCGAGCTTCCTTGGTGCGGCACTACCTCAACGGGGGCCTTCCAGATGCAGCGTCTGACAAGGTGATGAAGATGGTGCCCACCATAGCCAGGTAGGTACCTTGCCACTCTCCCCCTTGGTCCCCTTCTCCCTCCTCCTCCTACCGGCCGAGCTCCACCATAGCCGAGGTGGAAGCTCCCGGCTTCTTCCTCCCAGCAGCGCTGTAGCAGCCAGCGCTCTTCCAACCGGCGCTCCAACAGTGTGACGCCCAACTCGCACACTGAAGAATGAAGCCGAGCTCTTGCCTCGGCCTCTTCATATAGCGGCCTTCTTGCCTCCTGGGCGGTGACTTCCAGGCCGCTCGGCCTCCCAAGCAACCGGTACCTCCTCCCTTTCGGAGGGAAACATCATTGCAGACTCTGATATTGCCCGCACAGGCTCTAGACTCAGACTGGATGGACTGGTACCGGCCTAGACCTAGCCTACCGCTACTGGGCCTCTAAAAATGCCAACTTTGTCTTCTTCTGCTCGGCCTTGAGTACCTGGCACATCTACTGCTACTGGGTGCGGTACCGGCCTACCTGCTACTTGAGTGTTTTTCCGCTGCTCTAAGCACCACGGGCCCCTGGCTCTGCTACTTGAGTGTTTTGAACTGTTTTCCCTGCTGCAACCCTCAATGCCACGGCCACAGGTAAGTACCGGCCCTACAGGACTGCCAAACAAGCAAGTACCCTTGTGGGTCACACACACACTCATGCCGACAAGCACTCAGACAGGCACGCAAGTCCACAGGCACGCACACATACGGACTTAGAAAACACAGCAGAATGCGGGAATCTCAGCAAGGCATCCATTCCATCGGCAGAACTTCAAAAATCAGCAGTGTTCTCAGTCTGTGTTATGGCGGGTCATTATAAAGCTGGGTATTGGCCCCAGTACTCCGGGTTGAGTTGTGGGGGGATTCCCGGCCTCCTTTTGCTCATATAATGAAACCAAGCCTTTCCAAAAAAAAAAGAAAAAGGAGCCCAAAAGGTCCAAGACCTTAATTTCTGTTTTGGACCTGTTACCCAGGGCCTGAAACTGGGGGTCCCTGTTAAAAAGAAAAACGCGGGTCGGTTGGTTTTTCAAGCTCTCCAGTGTTTACTCCTGCGTGCTGACGCCAAGCACAGCGCCGAGAAGCCTGGCCATCACTACGGTGGTTAGTGGAACCATCACCCTCCAGGCAGTTGACTCCATCTACAACCAGTCTCAGGGTGTTGCGAGTTATCGCCTAACCTTGCCGTAGAGTCTCCACTGCAGTAGTATAGTATGACCGGTCACCCGAACCTTGACTTATCATTCTCTTGCAGAGAGTACTCTGAGTTTCGACAAGCCCCTTCCGTCCTGCCAACTCTATAATTGCCTGGCTGACCAGCATCAGTACTCTACATTACCGTCTCCACCCGAGTACATCATACGGTCACTATCGCTGTATTTGGGCCAACTTTGTGAGTCTAGAGACAGCAATAATGACCATACACGGCGAACAGTGTATTCTGGTGAAGATGGTAGTGTCCTACAATTCTTCGTCTTCTTCCCTCTCTTTGCCTCTACTGACTCTACAACTCCTTTTTGCCTTCTTCTTTCTCACTCGTAATTCTTTGAGCTTCCCTTCCTAGTCTCTCTTCCGTCAGTCCGGCACCTTGGCGAATGTCTCAGGTTGCTCTGCCCCTGATGTGGAAAGCAACACCTTGTCCCTGAATCCCCCCCCTGCAAGAGCCTGCTAAACTTTCCTGGGCTGGTTGAATGGCCATCTGGAATCGAAGATTCCAACCCAGTGGTAAAAAAAAAAAAGGGTTGGGTAGGATTGCTCGGTTTCTAAGGGATGATGTATACTCGTAATTTTTTAAACCACCAGTAGTACATCTGGAGAATTCGGATGAGCCTCTCTGAAAAGTTAGGGGACTCGGGACAGGGAGTGTTTTTTTTTTTGGTTCAAGGCTGGGCCTACTGCCACCCCACGGCATGGGACAATTTTTTATTTGTTTTTCCCTACTGGTCCTTCTAACGCCCTGTCCCCTGCTTCCGAAATTTTAGGAGAGGGTCAATCGCGATTCGCAACTTGGCTGACTGGTCCTTTAATACCTACCTAGACTGCACATGACTGAAGTCACCCTTCTCCTTTCCACAGTTAAAATATGACGCTAATCTGCAAAAGCGTCGTGCATCCTCCTACCTTCCACTAATGAGCGCCTGATCAGGTGTAGGATCAAAAGAAGAAGAAGAAGAAGAAGAAGAAGAAGAAGAAGAAGAAGAAGAGGATATCCCTGTCAAGCTGTGTCAACCGAACAGAAAAAAAAACGGAAAAAAAAAACATTGTGAAAAAAATGCTTTGACTAACCCTTGATCTCTTCACCCAATTAGAGCCTACTGACTGAATGGACTAGCTATTAAGCGCTAATTGTGTGCTAAATTGCTAGTCAGTCTAATGATACAACTAATTGGTCTGATCCCTGCTTGCGCAAGAGTCAAGACCAACTGTTCTGTACTAACTGCATCAGTCCCGATCCCGTAATCAATCAGAAAACCGTAATTGCAAATTTAAAGAAAAGTATCACAAGTGGAAAGCTGGAAACTACATGGTGTGGTGGGAATGGGTGAGTAAGTAACATGCGGCCAGAGCAGCTGGCAGGGCACCCCTTCCCCCCGTGCCTTGAACCCTTGGGGATTATCCTGCAGTGTGCCTGGGTGCTGCTAGTAAGCTTCCAGACTTGCAGGCAGGACAATCCCCAAGGAAAGGGCAAAGGAAGGGAGCGGCTGGCGGTGAAGCAACCCCCCCTTGAACAGGCGGCTCGAGCCACAAGGGCAGGCTGACTCTCTTCTCTATCTAATCTTCCCCGCTGCTTGTTTCAAAAACTTTGCTTGCCGTTCATAAGCAACCGGACTGACGCCCCCCAGCATAGAAGGGGCTGGAAGTGTTTTCCTGACGGGGAAAAAAAAAAAAAAAAGGAAAGTTGGAACTTGGAAGCTAACCATTATTTAATATTTATTATTTATACTATTTATAATTTTATAGCAGCTGAGCATATAGTCGGTACCTGCTCATCTCACCCTTTGCTCGTTCCCACCCCCTTAACTGACGACTTATGCCGGGTGAACAGAATGCAGGGATTCTACGATCGAGCCTACCCCCTGAATAGCAGTCAAATGGGCGGCTAACCCACAGCATTGTCATACGGCACGCTGTACATCTCAAGAATCATTCAATGTCGCAGCAGCAAGATACCCACTGTACTGATACCCCGCGGAACAGACGGGGCTTCGTGTTTTTTTTTTTTTTTTTTTTTTTTTTTTTTTTTGTAAGAAAGAAAGATACCCTCTACGTCCTTGCTATGGCAGAGTGTATTCAGGGCATGCACACACGACCTAATCATACATCATCGTGTGCCTCACGTCATCAGCAGGGCCCTTTCCATACACCACCCTTCTCCCACCAGACGCACCAGAAGCGCGCGCGATGACTCTCAAGNATACCCTCTACGTCCTTGCTGAAGCAGAGTGTATACAGGGCATGCACGCACGACCTAATCCCACATCATCGTGTGCCTCACGTCATCAGCAGGGCCCTTTCCATACACCACCCTTCTCCCACCAGACGCACCAGAAGCGCGCGCGATGACTCTCAAGGCTGTACGCCACTCGCACCTCATCAAAGAAACGATTCTCAAACATAACACTCTTTTGAGGATAATTAGAGGGTAGGATAGGGATGAGGACGCTTAATTAGTCGCTGACTCAACCCGAAACACGTTACCGACTGTTGGGTGCTCATGATGCCGTCTGATGGCCAATCAACTCAGAGAAACTACAAGCCCATCCAGCAATAAAGAGATGCTCGCCGAGCAACACCTCTCGCAATCACCAACAAACACTCTCATCACTCATCAATCCTTCCTTCACCCTTCCGCCCATCCACTATCAGCCTACCTTCTTCCCCCAAATACAACGTACGGTCATTATAGCTGTATTTGGGGTATCTTTCAGTCTAAATACAGCTATAACGACCGTATGTTGTATTCGGAGGAAGAAGGTAGCGGATGAGTGGTCCCACTGGCGAGAAGTCAACACAAAACACTGCCGATCAATCCTGTTGTCGACATCACATCTTCTCTCTCTCCTCTCTCCGGCTATAGACGGTGATCTTCCAGAGAACCATCTGATACCAATTGCAAAGGAACACTCCTCCGGAGAAACCCAGTCCGCATGCACCATGAGCTCTCACGTGGGCAACATGCACACGTCAACAACTTGAAGGTGATTGACAAAGCAGTGATCACATGAGCACAAGAAATTTACACCGTCAACAGTCTCTTTTTTTCAGTCTGAAAGCCCCCTTTCTTCTTTGCTTCTGCTTTTTTTGAGAAAAACTGGGCCGTATGGTTGTGGCTCCATATCCATTCCGGGGAGCGTCAGTCCCGTTCCTTTTTTCACCGGCAACCTTGGCGGCAAGTCAGAAGAACACAACCCGATGCGAACACACGATTGCTTCCTTCCGCTTCGCCGAAGGACCCCTGATCAGCATTGATTACTCCAGCAGGGTGGAGGATTGACTGTCAGTTTGCCCTTCTTCTCAAAGTCCTCTCAGCTATGGTGTACCTCAGCTGTCGGTTCTACTTGAAGCTCAAGACTTCTGAAAGAACGTGAAACAGTCCAAGCACTGTTGCTCATTGTTGTCGGGCCATATCCATGAGCTCTTCTGATATCTCCTGTCGTTGTCCGTCCATGTGCGCTTGGCAGCAGCCCCTCCCTCTTCTGCATGTCATCCTGGTTGTCCTGTTACACTCAGATAGGAGTTGGTGCCTCTCGTGTCCCGGTGGTCTCCCGAACTGCCGCTGTGTCGGAGTTGTGCCAGTCCTTCCAGCTTAAGTTACGGCCATTTACTATTCAGTATTTAGCCATGCAACTTTGCCTCCTGCCAACCATATATCCACTTAAAATTTGCAAGCACCGCCTGTTCTGTTTCTGGACTGTTCTGCACCCATACCTTCTTGACCTTCTTCCAATGGCACAGGATTTCAGCTTCAATCGTTCCTTTGGTGGCCGGCCAAACCTTCTCCTGTGGGTTCTTGGTGCCTTCCTGAATTCTGCTGCGTCTCTCTTTCCGTATCGCCCAGAGTGTGACCTTGCGTAATATCATTGCGAAACAGATCATTTCTGGTTTGCCAAAGTTAGAAGGTAAGTTGTGACATGCCCCACCAATAGATTGGAGCCGCGGGCGGACGATTAGAGGGAGGCGGGGGGGTGCCTGCATCACCCTCTCTAGTGAGTCAGGGCTGACGTTAAAAAAAAAGAACGTAAGTTGTCCCAGAGAAGCAGTTGGAGAGGGTGTTCAGGGAGAGGGGATAGGAAGAGGCTGTCCCACAGGGCTGATACCCTTGCCCAATATTCTGTGGCATCTTTGCAACTAGTTAAGCAATGATTAAGCAATGATTAAGCAATGATTAAGCAATGATTGAGCAATGTATCATGTCTTCTTGTTGCTGATCTGAACGGGCTCTGCGCATATCGGAGCTGTTCGGATCATTTTTTCTGCCTGCATCACCCTCTCTAGTGAGTCAGGGCTGAGGTTGAAAAAAAAGAGGGCAAGTTGTCCCATATCGGAGCTGTTCGGATCATTTTTCCTGCCTGCATCGCCCTCTCCAGTGAGTCAGGGCTGACGTTGAAAAAAAAGAGGGTGAGTTGTCCCAGAGAGGCAGTTGGAGAGGGTGTTCAGGGAGAAGCTGGCCCACAGGGAAGATACCCTTGCCCAATATTCTGTGGCATCTTTGCAACTGATTAAGCAATGATTAAGCAATGTATCATGTCTTCTTGTTTCTGGTCTGAACGGGCTCTGCACATATCGGAGCTGTTCGGATCATCTTTCCTTCTTCTAACATGCAGCCACTGATTTACTGGCAGAGCAGCGTTTGTTATGAGCCACTGCATGCTTCTGATTTTGATTGGCCTTATCGTTTACTCAGAAATTGGAATAGGTGGTTCAAGAAAGCCCCTTTCTTTTTTTTTTTTTTTTTTTTTTTTTTTTTAATCAGGTCCTTATGGTCCTGGCTCCATGTCCATTCTGGGGAGCGTCAGTCCGGTTCCTATTCCCCCGGCAAGTCAAAAATGAAATACATCGTAGAACGCGCTCACGCTTCCTTCTGTCTGGCCGAAGGATCCCTGACCAGCATTGATTACTCCTGACCAGGAGGATTGACTGTCAGCTTGCCCTAGTCTCCTATCCTCTCAGATACCCCCTGGGGGTCTGTTGGTTGTAACAATAATGGTCAAGAAGAAGACTGTGGCTTTGCTGCCTTGTGGGTCCCGCTGGGTTGTCCAAAGTCCTCGGGGAGGACAGCAGCTTTCCTGTGTCATCGAACTCTTGAGGGCGGAAGCTGGTGCCAATTCTTCCATATCAGTCGGCTGCCCGCTATGCTTGCTATTCTGCCTCTTATCAGCCAATCCTTGTGAAATGTTGTCCTCCTGATTGCTTGTCTCTCGGGAAATCTCCTTGATGATGCGATGACCTTACGCCATCTGGCCCGAATTTCAGCTTCCACCATCTTGGCTAGTAACGCCCACATTTCCTCCTTGGCGACCTCTGTACCTTCGATTGTGCGGGTGCATCTCCTTTTCCAGATTATCCATAGTGTCAGCTTCCTGAGTCGCAGTAACCGGGTGCTCTTGCTGCCCTTGAGTCTTGAGTGGGGATCGGAAAGGAGGAGGATGGTTTGTGGAGTAGTGATCGGGGGGGGGGGGGCAGAGAATAGGGAGGTCCATAGGGCTCGGATCCTGTTCCAGAACCAAGTCGCCTCACTGGTTCAGGACAGATGAGGAGACAGTGAAGTATGTCTTCTACTGATTCAGTGTTGCAGAGGGTGCAGAGAGGTGAGCTGTTGATGTCTGAGTGCTGTCTTCGCACGTGGAGCCAGTCGTTGACCGGGAGGGCTGTGTGTGGGCGATCAGCCATTGCATGCTGCAGATTTTGATTGGTCGGATGTTCAGGTATTGGGGCCATGGGATAGCGAGTAGAGTTTGCGGTTCGAGGTTGAGGATGTTAGTCCATTTCGCGATCAATCTGGGGTTGGGATCTGAAGTACGCAATCCTAGCTCGTAGCCGAATTTCACATTGTATTCAGCTATGGTTCGTGTCTTGCCGGCCTGGTGCTTCTTTCAGGCCCATTCCTTAGGGTCGAATTCAAAGTCCTGGATGCCAAGTTCTGGTAGAAAAATGGTCCGTGACTTGTTCTGAGTTACCCTGACTTTTCTCAGCTGGAAGGTCTCCAGGGCTTCAGTCTGTGGGTCTTGGTTAGAGATTTTGAGGACCTCGAGGACCTTTAGATTATGGTTGAGTACTGGGTAGGAGAAGAAACTGGCCTTGTGGCCTGATATCTGTTCTATAAATCTGAAGGCTCTCGTTGTGGGGGTCTCAGTAGTGAGCAGTCCCCAGTCTCCGGGCTTCCAGGTGAACCGTTCTCTGAGGAGTGGGATCCAATTTACCGGAATGCTTTGTAGCATGGTCGTGAGGTTAGAGTCCAGATTGTGGCACCCTTTCAGTGGGGTGCGCAAGAAAGCCCCTTTCTCTTTTTTTTTTTTTTTTTTTTTTTTTTTTTTTTTTTTTTTGGCCCCCCTTTTCATACCTCCAATAATCAATTACAGCCACAATAGTAGCTCTCTTCCCTAGCCAATCTGTCTACCAGCCCGGGTAGTGAACACCTACTCTATCATCCACTCTATCCTATACAACCCCATGTCATGCAGCAGAGTTTCATGCTCCTTTCATTTCTGCTGATGACCGTTTGGAAGAGTCTGTCACGTTGGAGCTCCTCCTTGTCACCCACCAATCTCCACAGTTTCCTCTTTTTTCCCAAGGATCACCCCATTTAGCACCACCTCCTTCATTCTCAGCACCGCACAGCTATGGCACCAGCCTTCTTCCCTAGCGCACAACCTGCTATGGCGCCAGCCTTCTTCCCCAGTGCCCAACCAGCTATGGCGCCAGCCTTCTTCCTCAGCGCCCAACCTGCTATGGCACCAGCCTTCTTCCATAGAGCCCAACCTGCCATTGGCGCCAGCCCCCTTCACAGCGCCCAACCTGGCATCGTGCCGGCCTCCTTCCCAGTGCCCAACCCGCGATGGACTCACTGCCTGTCGGCTGCCTGCCTTCCCTGTTCCCAACCTGCTTTCTCTTTCTCTCACAGCCCAGCCGTTGCTGGCGCTGCTTGTTGGCTGAAGCCACTCCTTCCTCCCGCTAGCACAGCTCACCTCGAGTGCCCTGGCGCTGCTTGTTGGCTGAAGCCACTCCTTCCTCCTGCTAGCACAGCTCACCTCGAGTGCCCAGAAATCTGCTCATCAATCTCCCTCTGACCAAGACACCTTTGACCTATCTATAGATTCTATACCCAGCCTTTCTTGAACCACCAGTACCTCTGAAAGTTGCAGTCGTCAACCTCTCGGCCGGCATGGGCCTGCCTGTGCAAGCCTAAATTCATTTGTGAGAAACTGTGACAAACCGTCACCACACTGTTGCAATAGCTGGGATTCCCTGGAAAAGGTGCTCTACACATGGTTCAACCACTTTGGCCGATCTTCTCTTCAGTCGGTAGGCATTGCCTTCCGTAGTCCTCCAGTTTTGGCCTCGCCCTACTGGGTCCCAGACAGCCTAGCCAGGCCTAACCCCAGGCCTGACTGGGCTTTACCCCTTTGGGCCCGTTCTCAGGACCTACAGGTCCTCTGCCGTCTATGGGCAGGACCTAGGGTTCTCGGCGTCTCACATTAATTTCAACGACTTTCGTGTTTTTCATGTCAAAATCAAGTTTAATCAACCAATTTCATCAGAATGAGCACTTAGGTCGGGGTCCTCTAGGATTCTACCCGGAAAGAAAAATACTATCAGCCAACTGTGCCTTTCTGCGCTCAGCCTAGCCGAATCTAAAAGGATGGCAGCTCCAGCCAAAGACAAAGCACTGTAAGGACTTGTCAAACACGGACTGAGACACGCAGCTGATTTCGGAGTTTTGACAATGGAATGTATGCCTTGCTGGGTTTCCCGCTTGTTGCTGAGTTTTCTAAGTCTGTGTGTGTGCATGCTTACTGGTCTGCGACTCTGCGTGCCTGTCTGAGTGCTTGTCGGTTCGAGTGTGTGTGTGTGACCCATAAGGGAACTCATCCGTGCGGGAGGCCTGAAGGGCCGGTACTTGTGGCCGTGACATTGAGGGTTGCAGCGGGCAAAACACTCAAGTTGGGGAAAGAGGCCCGTGACACTTAGAGCAGCAGAAAAACAGTCAAGTAGCAGGTAGGCCGGTACCACACAAAGTAGAGGTAGATGTGCCAGGTACTCCATGCCGAGCAGAAGAAGACAAAGTTGGCATTTTTAGAGGCCCAGTAGTTGTAGGCTAGGTCTAGGCGGGTACCAGCCCAAGTAGTCTGAGGCTAGGGCCTGTACGGGAAATATCAGAGTCTGCAATGATGTTTCCCTCCGAAAGGGAGGAGGTACCGTTTGCTTGGAGGTTGTGTGGCCTGGAAGTCACCACCCAAGAGGCAAGCAGGCCGCTATATCTCCTCCTCATTCTACACTGTGCAAGTTTGGCGACACACTGCTTGGAGTGCTGGCTGGAGCAGCGCTGCCGGGGAGGAAGGAGCGCCCAGCTCTCCACCTCCGCTATGGTGGAGGAGCACGGGCTGGAGGAGGAGGAAGACGAGGACTAGGAACGGGGAGCGCCTTGGTGGACGCCATCTTCATCACCTTGGTGGGCACTGCATCTGGAAGGCCCCGGTTGGGGTAGAGCTACACCAAGAAGCTTCGAGGCAGAGTCAGGCATGGCGGGAGCTAAAGCAGCCATAGCTGCTTTGAGTTGTCCTTTGCACATCACGGCAAGGCCCTAGCAGTCCGCCATAGCCTTGACCTTCAGTAAGAGTGTTACATGCCCAGTTGGGCGATGTACATATAAACCGAGGATCCGCAATGTGATAAAAAGGACTGAATGGACAATGCAGTGCAAGTGGAATCTCAACAAGCAATGACATTGTGCATTCCGATACATACAAAATGGTGCTTTATAGCGCAGGGAAGACTTTAGATACAAGTCCTGACCTGACCGGGACTGACCTCTTTCACGTAGTACAAGATAGCGAAGCAGAATGCTAGAATACTAATGACTAGCCCAATCAATGTTGCAACGCAGACCAAACATGCATCATGCTCATCACAAGGTGTGAAGGGGCCTGGCACTATTCAAAGGAAAGAGGCGCCAAGTCCAGACATACACAGACAAAGAGGACGGGATCAGACCAAGAAGACGAAGGGGGAGAGGGGAAAGTCGTCAACACCAAGTCTCGTTACAAGTCCCAAATAATCGCTCTTCAAAATGTCTGAAATCCAATGTCGAGTCTGGATCCAAATGTCACCAAGCTCTCTCTCTCCCTCTCTCTCTCCCTCTCTATCTTCTCTCTCTCTCTCTCTCTCTCTCTCTCTCTCTCTCTCTCTCTCTCTCTCTCTCTCTCTCTCTCTCTCTCTCTCTCTCTCTCTCTC